TTGTAAGTGATTTTGTTATTCATACATAAAATTGTATGAGTAGAGATATAATGCATTCTTTAATGTCATATTATAGAGTTCTATATGGATAAAATTCTTTTGTATAACAATAGCTACATAATAAAAATGGATTAATGATAAAAAACAAAAGGTTTGATTGCACCCCTCCCATATTTTATTAATAATTATAATTAATAATTATTCATTATTGACTCTTAATCTTTATAAAGGGAGGAGCACAAACAAACCCAGATGCAAACCCACGATAGCCTTTTCAAAAAATGTCCTTCTTAAGGAAAGCTATGTCACAATGTTGTCATAATTGTAATTGAGAAATAATAATTCAAAATTTTTGGAGGGCACATTGCCCATTTTCTCATTCAAGTGATACAATATATTAAAATTGTTACACACAGATGGTGGCGAGGGTATGCACTTTAGTGCTCTCGTTTTGTTCATTTTTCAAAATTTTGTAGAAGTGCAAAACAAAGATAATTGTGAGCAAGTAGCCAACATATTGTCCCAGTTATTAAAATCTACAAAATATGCTGGACTGGTTTACTATGAGGAAAAAGGCGTAGAGGATTTAGTGAGATTCACTGCAGCTAAAAAATTAGAAGCACTCATTCAAGTAAAAATGTGATTTTATTATTATTTAATTATTATTTGATAGTTCATTGAGCGGAAACATTCTCAGGCTGAGATTGGACCAGATATTTCTTTTAGTTTTAAGATTCCTTATGATTATATTGAATTAAACTTTACTGCACAACAAGATGAACCATTCAATGGATGGACAGTTAAACCTCACACTAAACCTAGCAGGGTAAGATAGTATTGCTATTTTGTGTATAGTACTTATTTGTAATTATATTGTAGTTATATCAAGAGGCTGTCGATAAATTTGGTGATAAAGAATGTCATCCTTCATCCTGCCTTTTATCCATTTATGGATCACCTGATGCTGTCCCTTTTCTGAACTACTCTGTACCTCTAGTAGGCGTGGTTCATCCTGTTACATTAATCATTCATAGAGCACGGAGAAATCTCGCTGTTCCGGTTTATCCAACAAGTAATGGATACAAATTATTTTTGTTTATATATTTGCTATTAATCAGATCCTGCTACCTCCTCCTCTAATACAATTACTGAAGTTACTGCAGTATCATCCAATGGAAGAGCTAGTAAGTAACAGTGTGTGTGTGTGTGTGTGTGTGTGTGTGTGTACATCATTTCTGTATTAGGCTATATTGACCTTTGACCTCTTAGGCGTATCGGCTACTGTTGATGTTGATAAAGTTAAGAAAGCAATCAATGGTGTTCTTGTATCTCATTATGCTACACTGAATTCTCTACCTAAGAAATCTTTTATTGGTCTTGTTAATCAGTTATATTCAGCTGACCTCATTAGTAATGAAGTTAAAGAAGATCCTTCAATGAAGGAGTGCATTGATGAGTTCATGGCTAGTCTTAGTTTTAAGAGGAGCTTGCCTAAAGTGCAGGAGCACTGTCAAAAGTTCTTGAAGTCATTCATTGCTGTAAGAGGCAGTTGTGTTGATGCAGCTAAAGCTTTAGGTGAGGACTGGATTAAAGCTATTAATGAACTGGGATTTGATTTTTGTATTGATATTGATGCTTAATTGCTGTTGATACTTAATTGCTGTTGATACTTAGTTGATCCTGTTTTGTTTAACTTGTGAAATTAAATAAACTGTATATTGCTTTGCTTTTTTATTATTCATTATTTTGAATTAACTTCTTAGACAGACTATTCTACTAGCATGCAAGCTTCTCGCCAACTCATGAAGCTATGCATTAAAGCTCACTTTGTGGAACCTCGGTCATTTTCATCTTGGCAAAATTGCATTACAATATCTATTATGCATGATCTTATGTTATGTCAGAAAGCTTGAGTTGATTTTGAATCAAAATCAGATTTTTTATGAAATTTTAAAGTTTGCTCGAAAAGTTTATAGACATCCTGCACCAAATTGCCTATGCCTTGTTTAACTTTACTCACATCTTTTTCACACCTTGTTAATATCTTGTTCTCACCTTGTTAATATCTTGTTCTCACCTCTCATACACTTCCTGTTCTTAACTCTCTAAATAAACTCCTTACAGTTAGGTAAACTTCACCTATTGCACTTTGTGACTATTCTGTAGACCAATAGTCTGAGAGGTGACTGGCTAGCTATTCCTGACAGTTTTTTATATGAACTACAGTCCAGCTAGCACTACTCTCAATATAGTCTACCCTACATGTTGGGCATTCCATACTTCAAAGGGTTTAACAGCATTGTAATGCATTCATGACATAAGTATTTAAAACCAGCTTACATTGGAGAGAGATGGTGATGTAAGGGAACATGGTCCACAATTATCATAAATTATTATAATTTAGTGTACCATATGTAGCTATATATGACTTAATAATGCAGGGAAAATAATAATAACAATGATATCATAACGTTAATCATTAAACTCTCATTGATTTATTGTAACAGTCTGCTTAGTTACATTGCCTGTGTTAAGAGTATCTAAGATAGCTGTGATGCAGTCAAATCCGCTATTGTGAACACTCTAAACTTTAACACCAAACAGGTACAATGTACTGTTCATGTTGCAGTCCCCAAAACTTTACAGGTATCTAGATTACATTTGTACAGTACATTTTAACCTTATACTTCTCACCTACTGTTTGATTAAATGGCCTCTTTTGTGAGTCATGGTCTAGTCATGTTCCAGTTGCTATAGTGAGTGTGATAATGACCAGAATGTAGTTACTGGATGAGTAAAATGAAACTCTCTGTGACTCTGTCAGACTATGAGTCAATGAGGTGTGTGTGTGTGTGTGTGTGTGTGTGTGTGTGCGCACGCTAAGTACAAGTGTATTATTACTATGAAACTATAATTGTAACACTGGACTTTAATGTCCTTTATACTGTGCATGTATAATTTGCTGTATATAACTGTACTGTATGTATTATGATTGTAATCATACTCTGTATTCAATTCAACAACTGATAATTATAATTTCATTAATTTGTATGTCATAGATACAAGTTTATCTCTCTCCCTCTCCTGCTCCTTGTTGCTTGTGTGTTTGTGTTTATATTTAGCATATTACATGTAATGGTTTCCTCTTGTTAATATTCTATTTACTATATAACATGATGCATGTACATACATGTACAAGCATGCATGTATATGCCCATGATGGTACTGTAAATTTCAGCCAAAAACTACTGTTGTTTTTCCTTCCAATAAATGGCTCTGAATTACATTTTTGATAAACATTGATGTTCTTATGTTACGTAGAAAGTTTAAGCTGATTCCGACTTAAACTTTTCAAGCTATCACTATTTTTAGAAATAATTATGTAAAAATCTGAAAAATACCCTGTACTATACTATAGCCCGGGCCATGCTTTTTTCAAAAATGGCTTATAAATCACCCTCCCCTAAGGCCGAATCCTGCCAAAAATGGCTAAAAAAATTCTCCATTAATTTTCTGACTGTTTTATTAGCAATTAAGTTTGAGCTAATTCTGATCAACATTAGATTTTTACAAATTTTTAGCTACTTAACAATTGAATGAATATTAAAGTCTCAGGGTCATTGGCCAAATTTCACCAAAAATGACTATAAGAGTGAATTCTCTATTTTTATAATTTTTTCTTCTTACATATACATGTACATGTTTTCATGTTGTGTAGCAAGTTTGAGCTGATTCCAAACAAAACTTAATTTTTATGAATTTTTAAAGTTGCCCAAAGCTATGCACGTACATGCATGTACATGTATTATTGTAGTGGCCTGGCTATGCAAGACTATAGTATTGTAGTGCTTGTCTACTCATGAAGCATTCTGTTTTACTCAATTAGCATGCTTTGTGGGAAGCCCTGATGTACAATACATGTATATTGTGTGAATGGGTATACTGTACAATACAATCAGAGTATATGCTCTTTCAATAAAATTATTATGATTGTTATTGTAGGATTTCAAGAAATATGGTGTGCAGATAAAAGTAAAGTTTTGTAGTGAGGAGTCATTGCATGTATTGGATGCACGTCATCAGAGTGGAGGAGAGAGGAGTGTCTCTACTATGCTGTACCTCATGGCATTACAAGATTTTACCCATCTACAATTAATCAATGGAACTATCTTCCCCCTCCCCTGAAACTTTCTCTTTCACTCTCTTATATTAAATTTTTTATTGACCACTGTCTATAATACTGTACAATATTTCAACAATTAGCTTTGCTATTATTATTATAAAACTTTTAAAAAAATGATATCACTAATTGTCCTTTTAGTGTAGTTGATGAGATAAATCAGGTGAGAGGATTATTAGTGAGAGTGTTCAGTATTAATATATTCATTGAGCATATTGTGTATATACAGGGAATGGATTATATTAATGAGAGATCAGTTTTCAATCAGATAGTCAGGACTGTAAATCAAAGAGACACTCCACAATACTTTGTACTTACACCAAAGGTAATGATAATATAACAACTAGTACTCTACCACAAAAACATGACAAGATACATTTATGTACATGTAGAAGCTGAAGATTATATGCATTATAAGATTGAGTGTATTAATCTTATTGAGTATTATTGTATAATGACCAATTATTTTATGTACATTGTATCTACATTTGAGCTTGAGTCCTTCAGACTATGTATGAGCTTATGATAAT